GAATATTATAAAGAATATTATAAAGAATACTACGAAGAAATTAAGCGGTAATAAGATCTCTAATACTAAGAATACGACTTAGCTCTCTAAGATTTCACGTTATATACTCTCTATAATTTTATATTAAATTATTACTTAGTAAGCGAAGAATACTACTATAACTTAACTTATTATCTCTATTATATTAAGAAGTAAAAGAAGAAATTATAATAGATAAATACGAAGAATATTATAAAGAATACTATAAAGAATATTATAGAGAAATTAAGCGATAATAAGATTTTTAATACTAAGAATACGACTTAACTCTTTAAAATCTTATATTATATACTCTTTACGATTCTATATTAAATTATTATTTAGTAAATAAAGAATATTACTATAATTTAGTCTATTATCTCTATTATATTAATATAATATATTACTATAATAATATTATAAGAGAAGAATCTACTACGATAATTATAGCTAATTAAGTCTCTATAGAAGAAATATCGAATAATATATATTTAAATAAATTGAAATCATTTAATGTCTATAGCTATTTTATTATTCGAAAAATTTTACTATAATAGAAGATATTATAGAATTCACACTACTAATTAATACGTTATCTTTATTTCTTTTTAATATTTTAATACTTCTTATTATAAGAATATAGTCTTTCTCTATTTTTTATAGATAATTATTATAAATTAATTCTTTATACTCGATATATCTTTCTAATTAAATCTTAGCGCGTCTCTCTTCATATATATATATCTATATATTATATAGATTAAATTAATTTTATAATAATAAAAGTAGATTAAAAACGTATAGTAAGCGATTAGAGTTTGATTTAACTTAGAACTAAAGCTAAAATTCGATTTAACTTAGAAAAATTCAACTTTATAAATTTAATTCATAGGTCTTTACTTATTACTAATTAATATATTATCTTTATTTCTTTCTAGTATTTCGATACTTCTTATTATAAAGATATAGTCTTTCTCTATTTTTTATAGATAATTATTACGAATTAATTCTTTATACTTAATATACCTTTCTAATTAGGCCTTAGCGCGTCTCTCTTCGTATATATATACTTATATATAGATTAAAAACGCATAGTAAGCGATTAAAGTTCGATTTAATTTAGAACTAAGACTAAAATTCGATTTAACTTAGAAAAATTCAACTTTATAAATTTAATTCATAGATCTTTACTTATGTTGTTATATTAAAATAGTTATAAATAAATTATTAATAGAAATTAATAAAGTCTAAAAAGACTTATATATTTCGATAATTTTTTAATTTTAACCACTTTTTAATAATAGCGATATATTTCTAATTTATTACGATATCTTTAATAAATATAATAAACTCTAGAAACTTAACTTATTCGATATAGAATTAATACTTTTTAAGATTAGCATATAGTTAAAATTAGCGTAAACGCTTAAGTATTTATTTAATATATTATTAATACTTCGCTAAATTAGTATTATAAATTAGAATATTATTTAAATATATTATATATATTATATCTATTAAATCTATAAGAGCTCTATTAATATATATTTAAAAAGTTATTAGTATATTAGCGAGTTTAAAAGATATAATTAAATATTTAAAGTAATCGTAGCGACTATAAAACGCTATTTTTCACTTATTATCTTTTTTAATTTAAATTTAATAATAAATATTCTTAAGATTTAGCTTTATAAAGATTTTAAACTTATATAAGCGATTTAGAGTCTTAATAATTAGAGATAGCGAATATTAATTTTTAATAGTTATTATATTTAAATCTCGATAATTAATATAAAAATAAAGCTTTTTATTTTTTTTAGAAATAAAAAGAATTAATATTTTAACTAAGAAAGTTAAATAGTAGATTTAATTTTTCTAAAGAGAATTCTTTAAATAGCGCTATAGCTTTATTAACTTCGTTTAAAATAGATTATATAAAAAATTATATAGCGACTTTTTATCGCTTTTAATCTTAATAATATAATTCTCTTATTTAAGCGTAAATAAGATTTCTACTTTTTTATTAAAAAAAATATTATTAAACTTTAATAACTTCTAAAAAAGCTTTAAATTATATCTATTTTTTAATTTACTTTATATTATCGCGATATATATAATTATAAATATATTTAACTTTTATTTAATAATTTAAATAAATTTAATTAATTCTTTAATCTATAATTTATTAGTATTAACTTTAAATTATTATTACTTCGCTATTAAATTTAATAATACTTATAATTAATTTAATTTAAATATATTTAATATAATATTAAGATCTTTTTAATTAATAGTATAGAAGAGTATATTATACTCTTTACTCTAATTTTAACTATTTATTAATTAATAATTTAACTAATATACGCTATAATAATATATACTTTAATTATTTAACACTTTTAATTATAATAAAATAATATTATAAAATTTTAAATCTTATTAAATTACGAATTTTTATAAAATTAAATTAATATATATTTTAATATTAAGTAGAGTAATAAGTTATCTCTATTTATTTTAAAGCTTTATCTATTTTTTTTATAAGAATAAAAGAAATTATCTCTATTAATTATTATTTTTATCTCGCTTCTAAGATAATTATAAGACTTAATCTTTTTTTATTAATACTATATCGATATTAATAATAGATAATTTATTAAAATCTAGATATTTAGATATCTAATAACTCTATTTATTATAATAAAAATAATTATTTTTCTTATAATTAAGATTAAAAAATTTAGCTTTATATTTTATATTATTCTCTTAAATATATATTACTTTAATATCGTTATTTGAAATTAATTTAAATTTCGAAATTCGCTTCTTTAAAGGCTTATTCTTAATAAATTTCTTTAAAAACTTTAAATAAAAATTATCGCTAAAGCGTACGCGTTTTAAAATCTTTTTCTATATAATAATCTAGATAAGAATTTCTTTTTATTATCTCGATATATTACTAGTATTTAGAATTTTATTTTTAAGCTCTAATCTAAGCTTAGCTAAGAAGAAATTAATTTAATACTTTTTAGAAAATAAAGATAAATAAGTCTCTAGTTTCTTTAGATAGATTTTAAAAATAGATATCTTCTAATTAAAGCGATATTTAATCTTTTTTTATTTTTTATAAGCGAGAAAATAGCGATTTATTAAATTCGTAATTAAATTAAATAAAAACTACTTAAAGAATTTAAAGGTTATATTTTCTAGATTATAAATTTAATAATATTTATATTATTAAATATTAGAGTTATTTTCTAAGAATTATATATAATAAATAATTTTAACCCAATTAATAATAAAATATTTAGAACTTATAAGAAATTTAATTTTAACTTCGCGAAATTAGCGTAAATACTTTTTCTTACTAATATTTTTATAAAAATATATTCTTTTAAAGCGAAATATTTTTATCTTAATTAATATATTTACTAAAGATATAATAATAATTAATATAAATAGATTCTCGCTAATTATAAATAATAAATTAATATTATAAAGCTCGCGATTACGAGCCTTTAACGTAATTAACTCTTATTCTTATTTTAGATAATAATTTTTAACTCTAATAATTATAAGATATTATTTTATAATAAGATTTTTTATTAATAAGAAATTTTCGAATTAGTTATTAACGCTATAGCGGCTATTAATATTATTTTTATTATTTATTATATAATTTAGAAATAAATTTAATATTATAATAATAATAAATCTTTTTCTTTAAAAGATAGAGAGATTAAAATTATAAAAGTATAGTTTATTAATAATTAGCTAGCGAATATAAATTATAAAAGATATAAAATTATTATAGAATTTAATAGTATATTTAATAGTAGAATTAATCTCTAAAAAATATTAAAACTTCGAGATATATAAAGTAGATCTATATTTATTAAGTCTCTAGATATATAAAATATATTATTAAAATTAAATTCTAAAAGAAACTCTAATATAATATATATAATATCGAAGTCTTAATATAAGTAGCGCTAAGATTTATAATAGTATTAGATCTAATATTTATATTCTATAATTTAAAAAAAAATCTAAAATTTTAATAGAAAATAAAAAAGTTATTCTAAAATCGAATAATATGCACTTATTTTTTAATTAAGGCTGCGGGCTATCGACTATCGAGCAGTTTTTAATAAGCGAACTTTTAATAGACGATATTTAAATTCGTTGCTTTTAAATATCTATAAGACTAAATTTAATAATTCTTTTTTTATCTAAAAGCCTATATTTCGTTCTATAATTTAAAAGAAAAATCTCGAAATTTTAATAGAAAATAAAAAAGTTATTCTAAAATCAAATACAGAGGTCTGTATCGAAAGTCCTACACCCGCCAAGACTCTTGCGCTTAGACTTCGGATAACGCCCCACCTAAAGGGCTACCTAAATAATATATCTGAAGTTCTTCGAAATCGCATCTAGCTCTAGCCAGGTTTCGAGGCTTAATACCTCTATTAAGCCAAAAGAAGTATCTAAAGTCTCATTCATACGCTGTGAGAAGATATTTCTAGGCTTCCCCTCTATAGGGCCGTTTTCCGAAAGTAGGGTTAGGGCTGTACTAGTGCGGGTGTAGGACTTTCGATGTAGACCTCTGTAATGTGTATCTGATTAGGGCTGTCCGGCTGTCGGTGTTAAGGAATAATATGGTGTGACTCATATATGTGGTGTGGTGTAAAGATGTTCTATTAATCTATGTGGCCTGCAGGCACATATGTGCGGAGAGAGGCGCGCTAAGGCCTAATTAGGAAGGTGTGCCGAGTGTGAAGGATTGATCCGTAACAATTGCCTACAAAAAACAAGAAAAATGCTATGTCCTCATGGTAAGAAGTATGCATACATGATTCTTCGAATGCCGGAAATAAATGGAGATGCTAGGCTAATTAGTGGTGTGTATTTCACGAAATCTCCTGCCGCAGTGAAAGCTTTTGAATAATAAAATGGATGTTGAAGCAAGGCATCGGACGGTTTCAATTCGTCCAAATATGCATTATCCGATCTTCCTCCTGACCTTCCTCCTGCAGTGGCCCAATTGGCTGTGATCGACGCAGTAGATCTTCCTCTTGTGTCGTCATTGCAGTGATGTACCACAATATGATATTGCCTAGGCATGTGGAGATGATAGGCCAAGTTGCAGGGGTGTTCTCCGCTTGCTGAGTGGTGATTTGACGTGGAACCGTGGAGAGCATATGACGTGGGATCTTGGAGATGGGGGCCTTGCTGCCGCTTGGTTTCTCCGCAGTGTTCTCCGCAGTGTTCTCCGCATTTGCCTGTTGTAGTGACTTCTCCTCTTGTTCAGTATTAGACTGAATGGCTAGCTGAGTGGCTGACTTGACGGCTTGTAGAGACCTCTTATGTTGCTGGCGAGTCTTCTGATTCCGATGCTTCTTCTTTTGCTGTGTGGCACGCATAAATGGATACTCCGGTGACCGAGTAGCGTGAAAATCGAATGGACTACCGTCACTGTATTAGTCACAAGGATCAAGACCGCATAGTGAGTATATCGTTAGATCCGGGGATAGAAAAGTAAGATCGAATTCTCGATGAAAGCTAGCACGGGCTACGGTAGAGGCACTTGGACATACGTGTAGCCATAACGTGAATGAGGTAAGTCTTGTAGCGTATAAGTTCATTGTAATATCGACAGGCCTATTGAAAGGATCGATTTGGACGATGTCAAAAGGTACTCGATGACTGCGAGTATATGTGAGGGCCGGCTTGGAGCGTCACACTATTAGGTATTGATGTGGGCTTTACATAAACGTCTGATAACGCCTGGATATCCTATAAAGTAGGGCCAGGTATTACTAACAATTGTTAAGGAATAATATAGTATGACTCATATATGTGGTGTGGTGTAAAGATGTTGATTAATCTATGTGGTCTGTAGGCACATATGTGCGGAGAGAGGCGCGCTAAGGCCTAAATATGTGCTGGGGCGCGGGGCTACCCAGTAGTGGAAAACTTGCCGAGGATGTGAGAAGACTGAGAAGACTGAGAAGACTGAGAAGACTGAGAAGACTGAGAAGATTGAGAAGATTACTACTACATAATACCAATTCTATTAAGGGGAGACCCCCTAAACCCCCCTACCCTCCGGGGGCTCTCCGAGGGCTCGAAGATTGAGAAGATTACTACTGCATAATACCAATTCTATTAAGGGGAGACCCCCTAAACCCCCCTACCCTCCGGGGGCTCTCCGAGGGCTCGAAGATTGAGAAGATTACTACTGCATAATACCAATTCTATTAAGGGGAGACCCCCTAAACCCCCCTACCCTCCGGGGGCTCTCCGAGGGCGCTCCGGGGGCTCCTACCGGAGGGGCCGTCCTTATAAACTCGAAATTATTTATATAAAGCCTATTTTAAGATCGATATAAGGTCGTTCGCTTCGTTAAGATTATAACTATAATCCCTCTAAAGAAATTTCTTATAACGATTATTAATTATAAATCGAAGTTACTTATAAATAGCCTTAAGATCTTTATATCGAATCGTCGTATATAATAAAGTCTTAAGTTTATTCTTAATTTAAGACTAATTAACTATTATATACTTAGCTTCTATAATATAAAATACGTAATCTAAGATATCTTATAATTCGATACTAATAGACTTTTATAAGAATCGCTCTTCTTAAAGACGTATTTAATATACGAGATTATTATATAAATCCTCGATAACCTCTCGTTAAAGATGAAAATAACTTATTTTAGCTTTTTCGTAAACGCGTTTTAAAGCGTTAAGATCTTAATTTTTTCGTAGATATATATTATAGACATCGAATATAGAGCGTTTAATATTAGGGTCTAAAGTATCGAACTTAAAGATATCTATTTACGTCTTGATAATACGTATAGAATTAATATCTTCGAGAGTAGTTTAAGAAAGATTTTAAGATATCGTAGACTAAGATTAAGATTATAAGATAATATCGTATAAAGATAATCGACGTTACTATTGACTTTAAGCTTTTCTCTAAGATCGTAGCTAATTTTAAGAGTATAACTATAAGAGAGCGCGCTCGATATTTTATTTTTAATAATTCTTTTAATATCGATTTATAGTACGTCGAGCTATAGAGAATACGAGGCTAAAGTTAAGAATTAATTAAGATATCTTAAGAATATAAAATAATATTTAAGAGAGAATTAAAGAAGATTAGAGAAGAAATTGATATTCTTAGTAAGAGAGCGAGAGTCGGGGACAAAAGTCTCTGCCGACTTTTGGTGAGGGCTGCGGGAGAAAGTCGGTAGGGAGAAAATCAGAGAAGAAATTAATATTCTTAGCCAAGACTTACTAAATCCTTAGTTACTTTCTAATAAGATAAGAGTTTTCTAGAATAATCTTACAGCGAGGCTTAGCACAGAAGTGATTTTATTCTTAAGTTAGAAGAAAGCAAGCTTTTTAATTAGAAAGGTATGTTGAGTGTAAAGAATTAATTCGTAACAGTCGAGCGAACTTTAGTGAGCGAACTTTGATAAACGATATTTAAGGTCCTTAGCCTTTAATAACTATAAGATTAAATTTTAAAAATTTTATATTAAAAAGCGTAACCTTCGCTCTATAATTTAAAAAAAAATCTAAAAATATTAATAGAAAATAGTAAAGTTATTAAAGGATTAAAAGTAGAATAAGAGATTTTAATAATTACGAACGCTAATTTATTTATTCGTAATAGTTTAATCGATCTAGCTAAAAAGCGTAGCGAACTCGAATTTATAATTAACTATATATATAAATTTAAGATTTTTAAGCTTAGCTCTATCTTATTCTATTATATATATTAATATTATATTTTAAAATTTAAAAAGAGCTAACTTTTATTACTAATATAATTTATAATATTATAATCTTAACGATTTTTTATAACTCTTCTAATAATCTTTTAAAGTACTTATCGATTTATTTTAAATTCTTAATTAATAAGAAAAAAAGAGTTTATTTTAATCTTAAAGTCTTTAATTCTATTTTTTTTAAACTCTTCTAGATATTATTAGAGATTTCTTTATATATAATTTTATCTCTATTATTATTAATAGATAATTAGAGTTATATTATAAAATTATAAAAACTTAATACTTTTATATTACTTTTATTATTCTTAATTTAATAAAATTAAAATTAATAATATTTTTATATTTTTATATTCTTTATATTATTATCTAATTTAATAATAGAATATTTATATCTCTAGCTACGATTACTAGTCGAAAAGATATAAAAAAAATTAAACTTAGAATTTTTTAACTTTTACTTATTTTCTTAAAAATTTATATCTTTATAATCTATTTATAGAATCTTATAATTCTTAAAGTACTATAACGAAACTAGTCTATTCTATTAGATAAACGCCGAGAGATAATAAATTTCGCTCTATATTATCGAGGTCTCGGCGTTTATCGAATACGGGTGATTTTTAAAATACGATAATTTATATAAAAAATATCGAGTGAAATTAAAAATAATCTATATCTTTTAAAATAATATCTCGAAAATTATCTAAATTCTATATTAAATATTATATCTTTTCGGCTACTAGCTACGATTATAGCTATTAAATTATTTATCTTTTTATAATATACGAGTAAAGGCCTATAAATTAAATTTATAATTTTTTTTAATTAGAACAATCGAGTAAATAGATAAGCGATCTTTAATAAGCGAACTTTAATAAGCGATATTTGAATTTCTTACGCTTTAATAATTATAAGATTTAATTTAAGAATTTATTTTTTATCTAAAAGCTTATATTTTATTCTATAATTTCAAAAAAAAATAAAAAAGTTATTCTAAAATTAAATAATATATATCTATTTTTTAATTAGAGCTATTCGACTTTTTTTTTTTAATAATTACGAATGCTAATTATTTATTCGTAATAACTTAGTTAATCTAATTAAAGAGCGTAGTAATTCTAAATTTATAATTAACTATATATATAAATTTAAGATTTTTAAGCTTAGCTCTATCTTATTCTTTTATATATATTATTATAAGAATTATTATTATCTTCTTATCGTAATCGCTATTATCTTATCTTCGCTAAGTTTAATAATCTTATTAAAAGATAGAGTAACGAGTAAAGGCCTATAAATTAAATTTATAATAATTTTTTTAATTAGAGTTATGTAGTAAATAGATAAGCGATCTTTAATAAATAATCTTTAATAAACGATCTTTAATAAGCGAACTTTAATAAGCGATATTTGAATTCCTTACGCTTTGAAAATTATAAGACTAAATTTAATCACTTTTTTTCTCTCTAAAAGTATATATTTTATTCTATATTTTAAAAAAAAAATTTTTAATTTTAATAGAAAATAAAAATGTTATTCTAAAATTATTAGATCTAATGCTATTATAGGCCTTAACGCTATTTACGCCAAGGCTTCGATATTATATATATTACGTTAGAGTTTCTTTTAGAGTCTAATTTTAATAATATACTTTATATATCTAGAAGCTTAATAAATATAGATCTACTTCGTCTATCTCGAAGTTTTAATATTTCTTAGAAATTAGTTCTATTATTAAATATATTATTAAATCTTATAATAACTCTATATCTTTTATAATTTATATTTATTAGCTAATCGCTAGTAAACTACGCTCTTATAATTTTAATCTCTTTATCTTTTAAAGAAAAAGATCTATTATTATTATAATATTAGATTTATCTCGAAATTATATAATAAATAATAAAAATAATATTAATAATTATTATAGCGTAAATAACTAATTTAAAAGTTTTTTATTAATAGAAAATTTTATTATAAAATAACGTCTTATAATTATTAAAGTTAAAAACTATTATTTAAAATAAAAATAAGAGTTAATTATATTAAAGGCTTATAATTATAAGCTTTATAATACTAGCTTACTATTTATAACTAATAAAAACTTATTTATATTAATTATTATTATATTTTTAATAAATATATTAATTAAAATAAAAATACTTTATTTTAAAAGAATATATTTTTATAAAAATATTAATAAGAGAAAGTATCTACGCTAATTTTATAAAGTTAAAATTAAATTTCTTATAAATTCTAAATATTTTATTATTAATTAAATTAGAATTATTTATTATATATAATTTTTAAAAGATAACTTTAATATTTAATAATATAGATATTATTAAATCTATAGCTTAGAAAGTATAATCTTTAAATTTTTTAAGTAATTTCTATTTAATTTAGTTATAAATCTAATAAACTATTATCTTCTCGTCTATAAAAAATAAAAAAAAGCTAAATATCGCTTCGATTAGAAGATATCTATTTTTAAGATCTATTTAAAGAAGTTAGAGACTTATTTATTCTTATTTTTTAAGAAATATTAAATTAATTTCTTTTTAATTAAATTTAAATTAGAGCTTAAAAATAAGATTTTAAATATTAATAATATATTAAGATAATAAAAAGAAATTCTTATCTAGACTATTATATAGAAAAAGATTTTAAAATATATACGCTTTAATAATAATTTTTATTTAAAATTTTTAAAAGAGTTTATTAAGAATAAGCTTTTAAAGAAGCGAATTTTAAAATTTAAATTAATTTCGAATAGCGATATTAAAGTAGCGCGTAT